CAATACTGACAGCTCCCAGTTGTGATATTAAAGACACACGTTATTTGTATTTGTATATTTCTTTGATCTCCTTTGTGAAGTCAGGTTACATATGAAAAATGTGGAACGAAACATCTGCATTGTGAATCCAATTCTGAGAGGTGTTACATTCTAGTCATGTTACAATTTGACTATAATTAATGTTTTTGTTATATTCTTCCCCCTTGCTTGTCAAACACTGAATTGGCTTGAATGGGTATGTAAGAAGACTTTAACTAAAGTTTGTGAGAATGAGATACAATTTCATGTTGTAGTTGTTGATAGTTTTTGCCATTTGCATGCAGCTCTTAGCTCTTGATTCCAGCATTACTCATTCACTTCTTACTGATTGTCACAAATTGAACATGTATAAACTTAGTGATTTAGAAACTTGGTCATATAGAAAGTCATTATACATACAAATAAATATTATCAAATAATAGGAAGTAACTAGCCTAAAATACCTACCAGGGAAGTTCACGGGAGGTAAAGGCAGTCGGTTTGATGTTGACCACAGAACCCATTGAGTGCTGATTGGCCTGTTAAGTATAGGTCTAGCCCTGTGTGCCGAATACGAAGGGGTGGAAAAGAGTCCTTTATTTTTTTATAGGGAGTAACTGATTCAGGGTGTGTGAGATAACTGTGGGGCAGCATGGGGATTCGTATAAAGATATTGTGAAGGTTAAATTTGGTTCAGTCTGTCAGATACTTACTAGAGTGCATACTGCGACACTGTGAGCATGGCACTTAATCTTCTTCTTCACTTTCACCAGTTGTAAACTCCGGCTGTGGAAAGTTCTGGTTGTTCAACCACCTCTGGACTTTAGACTTGTTCCAGAACCTGAGTGTTGCATGCACGTCTGTTTTACAGATCTGACTTATTTGTATGCAGATGTTAGTTCCTTGCCTCTCAGGCAGATGCACTCTGAATTCGAAGGAAACCCCCAATTAGTTGACTTTTACGACATGCTTGCTGGGGAGGCAGTGGGTCTATTCTTGTTTTCCCCACAGTGAGGCCCCGGAACCCACATGTGGATGTGAATTTATGGGAAAAGCTTATTGCCTGTGCTCCTGAAGATGTATATTGTAAACTGCATTTTCAGAAAATGGCAAGTGACATTAAATTGGTGGTGTGCCTGATATAGTAAGGCATAGGCAGCTGATGGTTTGTCGTGACTACTGATTTCAACAACCGTGAATGGCAATTCTAATGAGTGTATGCAATATAAATTTGATGCTTGTGCAAGCTGTTGCATTTTGCCGGTACTGCTGTCTGTTGCACATAGGACAGCGATGGGCATTTTGTGTGGTTTTTCACTAGCGCAGTAACGGAGCAGTTATAAGGTGACCTGTTTGTGCTGAAGTTGGAACACAACTGATAGTTTCTTCTTCTGCATTCATCCGAAGATATAACTGTGTTGTGACCGTTGACAGCATGGCTGCAATACTTGCGCCTTTCGGCCGACACATCTGACTTCTGCAGGCATTTGTTGACCGGGTTACAGCCTTACCAGTTAACTAGTAGTTTAATAGGCTAAAAGAGATTTGGTTTCCACCTGTCTTCTTCTTCTTCTTTGCGTTTACCAGCTGTAAACTCTGGTGGAAAGTTTTTATTGTTCGTCCACTTCTGGACTGCAGTCCTGTTACAAAACCTGAGTGTTGTGTGTGCATCCGTTTGACAGATCTGACTTATTTGTGTGCAGACTGTTGGTTCCTTGCCTCTTAGGCAGATGCACTCCGACTTCGAAGGAAGCTTCCAATTAGTCAACTCTTACGACATGCTTTTGGGTAGGCAGTGGTCTATTCTTGTTTTCCCTATAAAAGGGCCCCGGAACCCACACGGGATTGTAACCACCTGTGACTGTTTCCTGTTGGGCTCTCAGTGTGGGAATAGATCCACAGACTCAGTAAACCCATGAGAAGTTTGCTGGTCAGAGACTAGATTATTGTTGGGCTTCATACGTGATCTGACTTTAATTTAGCCTTTAATTTTGCAGCTAAACTTATAGTGTACTTTGTTTATTACAAAGTGGATATTGCAGTACCTAATACACATAGTCGTAAATCAGTTCTAATCATTAAGCAAATAATTTCTAAATCTGATTGAATGGAAATATTGTAGTATATGTATTCAGTGTATGAATAATAAAATAATGAATGACCTGAAAACAAACACTGAGAGCAAGATCCAATGAAAGTGGATATTGTAGTATATAATGCAAAAATGTGTAAATCAGTTCTGATCATTGCACACCAAATAATTTCTAAATCTAATTGCATGAAAACATTGTAGAAACAAACAGAGTTTTGCTGTGCCTCTGAAACACATATTCAGGCTCACTGGTTCTAAATGCATTAGGGTATCGGTTCTCAAACTGCGGGTCACGACTCTTTTTTTAGGTTAAATGACTCTTTCACAGGGGTCACCAAAGACTATAGGAAAACACATATTTGTTGAAGTCATGAAGGAAAATAATTGTTTTGGGGGTCACCACAACAAGAGGGAACTGTATTAAAGGGTCGCGGCATTAGGAAGGTTGCGAACCACTGCATTAGGGAGATCCAGGTTGGACCAGTAAGCGTTCTTTTGGTAAACACGTGTAGATCAATGGGAGACATGCCTCACACCACAACCTTCATAGAAGCCTGTGTTTACCTTCTCATTTGAAAACCACTGGCAGGGAGAACAAAAAGAAGAAGAAGACACATCGGTTGAAGTTGCATTTTAGACCACTTTGATTTGCAGGTGTTTAGATGCACCAAGAGCTGACATCAAAGCTTTTTGAAACATTCCCATGAGAGCTCATCTTCAGCAGTCAGCACAAAGTTCCAGTTCCAATGGTGTCAGTAGCAGACTGATTATATGTCCATCTTGCATCTTCTCGGAGTGCTGAGTGTCTGCCAAATACCTTAGTCACTTCCCGCTGCGTCATTCTTCTCAGATCTGATGATCTTCTTTTGTTTCTCTGCACTATTCCCTTGCTCGCAAAGGACCTTGGCAACATCTAGCTTGTCATGCATTGGTCATTTAAACCACTAAATGGTACAGAGGCAGCCAGTCTGTCCTGCCTGTTTATTTTTCAACACACATGGCATGGAAAAAAATATCTAAAGAAGCTAACTGTGCTTACCACTCTGCATGGTACGTACCTGTCTCCAATTTTCTGAACATTCTTTGTGTGTCCATTACTATCACAACTTTTGTGTGTGTGTGTGCTGCTGGTTCTCAAGCCAGCGAAAGGCTGCAGTGACTGCCTCTACCTCTATTCTCAGACTAGATGATGTGGTATCATATGCCAGGCTTTGTTGCACTAAGGGTCGTTGCAAGTGTTAGAACTTCCAGGTGACTCCTGTATTATACACCATCATGTGCTGAGTAGGTATGGGTGTGGCACCATATACCATTTGCACCTATAGCATACAAAGATTAGTTTGCCTTCCTTATCATTCAACAGCATAGTCACATAAACATAAAATTAATTCGCTGGCTTTACAAATTCAGTGAAATGTTACATTAAATATGTTTATCTGTGTTTTATTATTAAAAGGTATTTTCATACAATTTTAATGAAATTAATGGGTAAAAGCCGGTAACTTCAACCGGTTGCCATTTATTTAAATGTCTTAAAATGCATATACTATTTGGCATGTTAATCTTATTTTCCTTGAAACTTTAAAGTAAACTCTCACTCCACGCATGCTACAACAGAGATAATGTCAAGTTTCACAGTAAACTGTCACTCCACTTATACTACAACAGTGATAATGTCAAGCTTCACAGTAAACTCTCACTCCACTCATACTACAACAGTGATAATGTCAAGCTTCGCAGTAAACTCTCACTCCACTCATACTACAACAATGATAATGTCAAGCTTCACAGTAAACTGTCACTCCACTTATACTACAACAGAGATAATGTCAAGTTTCACAGTAAACTGTCACTCCACTTATACTACAACAGTGATAATGTCAAGTTTCACAGTAAACTGTCACTCCACTTTTACTACAACAGTGATAATGTCAAGCTTCACAGTAAACTCTCACTCCACTCATACTACAACAGTGATAATGTCAAGCTTCACAGTAAACTGTCACTCCACTCATACTACAACAGTGATAATGTCAAGCTTCACAGTAAACTCTCACTCCACTCATACTACAACAGTGATAATGTCAAGCTTCACAGTAAACTCTCACTCCACTCATACTACAACAGTGATAATGTCAAGCTTCACAGTAAACTGTCACTCCACTCATGCTACAACAGTGATAATGTCAAGCTTCACAGTAAACTGTCACTCCACTTATGCTACAACAGTGATAATGTCAAGCTTCACAGTAAACTGTCACTCCACTTATGCTAAGTTAGTTGCGTATCCTTTACAGGACGTTGCAGAACAACCCTAACAGCCCCTGGCTGTTTGTGTGATTTCTCTAGGCAATTTACATCCAGTAGTTTGCCATTGCTTTCTGGACGGTCGGCTTTCTTGATACCACTGTCGAAACCAACGCAAGGCGCATTGCCCGCAGCTGGGATCGAACCTGGCATCCCGGCATTATGAAGCGAAGCGTTCGCATCGACTAAGCCACAGAGCCGACCCACTTATGCTACAACAGTGATAATGTCAAGCTTCACAGTAAACTGTCACTCCACTCATGCTACAACAGTGATAATGTCAAGCTTCACAGTAAACTGTCACTCCACTCATCCTACAACAGTGATAATGTCAAACTTCACAGTAAACTCTCACTTCACTCATGCTACAACAGTGCTAATGTCAAGCTTCACAGTAAACTCTCTCTCCACTCATGCTACAACAGTGATAATGTCAAGCTTCACAGTAAACTCTCACTCCACTCATGCTACAACAGTGATAATGTCAAGCTTCACAGTAAACTCTCACTCCACTTTTGCTACAACAGTGCTAATGTCAAACTTCACAGTAAACTCTCACTTCACTCATGCTACAACAGTGCTAATGTCAAACTTCACAGTAAACTCTCACTCCACTCATGCTACAACAGTGCTAATGTCAAACTTCACAGTAAGCTCTCACTCCACTCATGCTACAACAGTGCTAATGTCAAACTTCACAGTAAGCTCTCACTCCACTCATGCTACAACAGTACTAATGTCAAACTTCACAGTAAACTCTCACTCCACTCATGCTACAACAGTACTAATGTCAAACTTCACAGTAAACTCTCACTCCACTCATGCTACAACAGTACTAATGTCAAACTTCACAGTAAGCTCTCACTCCACTCATGCTACAACAGTACTAATGTCAAACTTCACAGTAAACTCTCACTCCACTCATGCTACAACAGTGATAATGTCAAGCTTCACAGTAAGCTCTCACTCCACTCATGCTACAACAGTGCTAATGTCAACAAAAAGGCTGAATAGTCCATCATGTTTGAGTGATTCACTTGGACACATACAGTAACTACATGTGTGGGCTCTTCCTAACACCTCATATATGCAGTGATTATCAGTATTCAGCAGGGAAATAATATATTTTTGTGTCCCCTTTGCTTATTGCATTGTTCTCTCTCATCCCAGAATATGCATGGGGGAATTTTTTTTTTTTTTTTTCAGCCACTTGCCTGTTTGTTTCAGCAACTTTTCTGCTCATTTAGTCTGCTGTAAGCCACATCATGTTGCATATAGCAGACGCCAGGCACAATGACTGGTATACCCCAAGTGATGTGCATTGTTCATATGTTGATTGTAGTTTACAAACTTGATATTCAGCCTCAGTTTATTTCAGTCTTGTTGTTTTGTGAAACTGTGATATATTTCTTTTAAAATATCAGTATGTCACAATTCTAAATTTATTGCCAGACGTTAGCATGGAAGACTGTTAGGAGTTATTTCATGGAGGTTTCGGTAATTCTTTCTTTCTCAGAAAGTTGTTACTTTTATAGCAAAATCTCTGGGAAAGCAAGGACAGAATAGGATAAAGTAATGTGTGTCTGGGGGAACAATAGGGACAGAATAGGTTAAAGTAATGTGTGTCTGGGGGAACAATAAGGACAGAATGGGTTAAAGTAATGTGTGTCTGGGGGAGACAAGGACAGAATAGGTTAAAGTAATGTGTGTCTGGGGGAGACAGGGACAGAATGGGTTAAAGTAATGTGTGTCTGGGGGAGACAAGGACAGAATAGGTTAAAGTAATGTGTGTCTGGGGGAGACAAGGACAGAATAGGTTAAAGTAATGTGTGTCTGGGGGAACAATAAGGACAGAATGGGTTAAAGTAATGTGTGTCTGGGGGAGACAAGGACAGAATGGGTTAAAGTAATGTATGTAAGGGGAACAATAAGGACAGAATGGGTTAAAGTAATGTGTGTCGGGGAACAATAATGACAGAACGGGTTAAAGTAAACCAGGGGAGCTTAGTTACTAGACACTTACCTGTCTGCTTACCCTAGAACGGCCAGATACTACGGTTTCCCCAGATTCCTGCGATTTTTAATCCCCCAAATGTTGTTTGTAAGGAGTAAGTTTAGTATGTTGATTGTGACAATTTTATAGATTATTATAAGTGAAAAATACCATTATAAACAAGCAATGATTCATTTCATTTTTTTTTTATATAGCCAAATCTGGCAACCCTAGCTAACATGAACTTTCACCTGTCTTTAATTCATCCCATTTAATGAGTTTCTCAATAAAACTAATAAAGAGATTAAAAACTGTGCACATAAAAGAGTTCAGTGGAAGTAGACCAAGAGGCAGACCAAGAAGGTTGTGGAGAGATATACAGGAAGTTCTAAAAACACATGAAGTCATGAACTGGAAAGAGAATGCCAATCAGAGAGATGAATGGAGATGGGCGATACCTGCAGCTTGACAGGTTTTTATTTCCACAGTGGATGGCTAAGAAAAAGACAATCTCAAACTGTGGTATGAGAGTCTCACCATGGAGATGGAGGTCACAACCAGTAATGGGACTACCTTTATTTTTACTCCATCACAGGTTGAACTGTATCAGTAAAAAAATTTTTGAAAGATTATTTTAACGAGACTTGCTACCCAGCTTGCCCCTTCTTTTTCTTCTCTTTAGTATTAACCAGACTTAAGCTCTGGTAGAAAGTCTTGGTTGTTAGTATTATTAGGATGAATTTTACGTGCACATTGGTTTTACAGATCTGGTTTGTTTCATGTACAGACTATTGGTTCCTAGCCTCTCGGGCAGATGCACTCCAGCTTTGAAGAAATGTTGGTTCTTTCTACATCGGTTAGGGCCCCGACTGGGATCCTCTTTCTAGGGTGACCACGGATCTGTCTTGACCAGTATGAGGTTCAGTCCTGGTGCCCCTCTGCATGCCCCTGACACGTTGAACTGAATCAGTGTAAAATCTTTTTTTTTTTTTAAATAATAGTGATACATGCTCATCAACTTGTTTCAGCTGTTCATTCCAAATAAAAGTGTTGCATTGGAACTCTGATGTTACCACTGTATGTTTACTGTTTCTCTTTTGTGATTAAAAAGTGTCTTATGTTGGCCAATTCTTTTTTTATTGGTTTGTTTTGTTTGTAATTATTTTTTTTTTTTTTAAACATAGTTGTACTTTTTTCCTTTCATCATTATCCTCTTGTGCCATTATGTGTCATAAAGGGCTTACAGTCTGTTTATCTATTCCATTCTATCCTGTGCAGTCTTTTTGATATCATGAATGGACTTCAGCTCAGCAGCTTTGGCTTCTCTCAACAACATTCATTTTAGGGTTTCTCTTGCGTGTCTCATGTCCTTAATCTTTTTGTTTCCCATTTCATTGCCTGTTCAGTGATTCTCTGCTCACTTCTTCTGAAAATTTCCTTGGAATATTTTCATCTTCTGCTGATGCCAGTGGTTGTAGAGACATGTCTTTTCTTTGCTCACCGTTCTTGAATTCATCCTATGTAATGTTCAGCAGTTTACTTCAGCCTTTAAGTTGATGTTATTCTGCCGTGTTTACAAAATGGTCTTATTGTTAAGGCAGTTGGTTTTGAAATACTTTCTTAAAGGGTATTAGAAGATACACTAATAGTTCACTGGCTTTCCAACACAGCAGTCTTAGTTCGGTTACCAGTGTAAGATAACCTTTGAACTGACTGTTAGCAACTACAAGGTGAAACTAGTTTCATTATGGGAAGGAGAGCACTAAAAGAACTTTCAATAGAGATAATGCTTTAGTCTCAGATAGAAAGGAAAGTCAGTTTTCCTCAGCAACAATAACAAAATGAAAATGTAGGTTCTTCTTTCTTGTGAAGAAATCCCTGATTAGTAGTTACACCAACTGACAAAGTTCTTATTATTCAGTTTGCAGTTTTTTTTAATTATATTTTTGTTGTTGCAATTCTTCATTTGTTTCAAACAGCTTTCCAAGCAGCTTTGAGTATGGTGTGGACTCATAGATCAATATTCCTTACATCATGTGCTGCATAAGACCAGTTGTGCAAGACATGTTCTATGCACATATTTAGCTAAAATCAAAACTATCCTAACTTATTTAACCATTTTTCTGAACATCATAATGTCATCATCTACATTGGCTTTTGAGATTAGCTTAGTGTAAGTCATTCATGTTCTAGCTTGTTAGTTTTAGCATCCCTCTTCTCGAAAACCTGGTAACAACTGGTAAAATTGATAAAAGAGAAGGCAAAGAGATAAATACCTGGATGGCTGGACCATGTGGATGAGGGTGAGACAAACATATTGACCTGATCCATGATTCTGGTGATCATGGGATATGGGGACATATGATGGCCTACCCTTACCAGCACGGCACACGATGATGATTCTCTGTGTATGTCATAGGTTAAACCAGTCTTTCCTATTTGGTGGTCTGCAGGCTACCAGAGTTCTTGTAACAAATTTAAGAGGTCAGTTATATCATTTGCAAAAGACCCTCAACTTGAGGGGCTGTGCGGTGTTGAGGTATGGCATCCACCTCGAGTGCTGGAGGTCCTGGCTTCAAACCCCTGTGAAGGCTGGGATTTGTTCACCTGGACTTCTAGTAATTTCTCCTGGTCTCTGGGTAGTAAGACCAGACGCCCGTGTGTATTGTTGCGCATGTAAAAAAATACCTTGGCAGTTAGAAATAGAAAAGAGTAGCTTAATGGCGCTGCCCGATCAAAATTTGGAGTTAAAAATCTACCCAAAGTATTTCAGAATCCTCACCAGTGCAATGGAGTTCATGCACGGCGCTGAGATTCTTCAAGACTCAGGCTTGAGTTAGAAGTAGAAGGGAGCACTTATGGGTTTAAACCTTTGTGCCAAAATGTTGATCAGTTGAGTAAACTAAACTAACAGAAGAGACTTGGATCAAGTCTCTAATATTTATAGATTATACTTTCTTCAGTATGCCTGTTATAAATTAGGTTGTCTTTGGCAGACCTACAAAATAATAGAGGTCAGTAGGTCTTACTTAGTTTGAAAACACAGAGTTAAACAATGCTTGAATTCCTCAAACTGAATGTAAAAGCATACCCAGGATAGAAAGAATTGCGGACCTCTAGTGTATCTTTCCTTTTATTTTAACTCTTTCACTACCAAGTAACTTATGAGTGTGTTTACTGGTTGTACTGTTTGCTTGAAATGCTTTTCTAAACTCCTTATTCCTTGTGTAGTAAGTACATTAACTCATTCCATCCCAATGTTTGCTGTAACTCAGTGTGACCTCTAGTGTTAATATTTGAGCTTGTTCAGCCCCAGACATGTCTTATTTTAAGTTTAAGAATCTTTGTCTTCTTCATCGTCATCATCTTCTTCATTGTCATCATCATCTTCTTCTTTTTTCTTCTTCTTTTCCTTCTTCTTCTTTTTCTTTACATTCACCAGCTGTAAGTGCCAGTGGAAAATCCTGGTTATTGTTCACTTCTGGACTTTGGTCGTGTTCCAGAACTTGAGTTTTGTATTGACATCTGTTTTACACATCTGAATTATTTGTAAGCAGACAGTTGCCTTTTATGACATGCTTGTTGAGGGCAGCGGGTCTATCCCCCCCCCCCCTCTCCCCTCCCAGAAACCCACACAGAGAAAGTTTTAGGCCATATGTTGACACCTTTCCTTCTTTCCAGACGATATTTGTATAGTGTACCTTAACACTAAGCTCTCATCCTCTTAGCGCTTACCAGCTGTAAACTCCAGCTGAGGTTCTGGTTGTTCATTCACTTCTAGATTTTTGTCTTGTTCTGGAACTCGAGTTTTGAGTGTACATCCATTTTATAGATCTGGCTTATTTATATTCAGACTGTTAGCTCCTCGTATCTGGGGCAGATGTGATCTGACTTTGAAGGAAGCATTGATCCTATATATGATGGTCAGGCTCTGGTAGCGAACCTTTTCCTAGGATGACTACGGAGATGTGTAGATGGGCCCTGTATGAACCCTGGCGCTGCACCACTATGTTTGTTTCAGCAGCTCTGGATTCAAACACAAAGCTTAGGCAGTATTGCAG